TTGACGGCAATCAACACTGTAGCACATGAGTCGCCAAGCTTGGATTCAAACTTACACCCTGTGCTTTTTCTTCTAAATTGTACAGGGGTATTTTTTTTTTTAATGTTTTATTGTGAATTACTTGATAGTTTACATGGGAGAACATTAGCTTTACATTCATCCTATTGTATATCGTTACACTGTCATGGGTACAATCCCCTCCATGCATCATCAACCAACCATAGGGTATACCCTGCCAGCCTGCCCCCTGGTTGTCAGCACACAGCCTTCTCCCTTTCTGGGTCTAGAGTTCCCAGCCACTCCATCTCTACATGTCATCATCTTTGCCTCCATCTCTGGCTTCACTGTTTCTCTGGGTAGGGTCTCGCACCTGGCTCTTCTCCCTTGATGGTCTCAGGGACCTCCATTCCCAGACTGCAAAGTCAACTACTCCCCTTCTTTTGCTACATACAAAACGTTTACCTTTACATTTCCAGCCATCACAGTCAGTCCTGATACTAACTGTTCACTATTGTACCAAATGATTACTATCCCCATCTCTTTTTATCAGTCCTGCTCAGGCAGATTGGATACTACTCAGTGGAGATTCTACCTTCCTCCAGGCCCTCTGGATCTAGGCTCCTCTTGAAAGCTTGTAAACCAGTCACTTCTTGCCTCTGTTGCCCTCCCCCCCCCCCCCATTTTGGGTAGCCAATGTCCAAGTTGCCCATCCCTGTCTACTCTGTGTGTGGAGGGGGTGGGAATGATTCTTGCTGTAAGGATTTGTTCCCTCTTTTGAGCTATTGCATCCATAGATGTAGGTCATGTTCATCAAATTGTTTCAGATTACTCTTTTTTTCCTCTACTTTCTTCTTCTAGTTAAGCTCTGATCATTCAGCCATTGACGCCTTGGTCAAGTGGGTATTATCTGCAAGTGTGGGTGTTCTTGTGCATATGCCATCTCTTCTTATCAGCTAGATGCCTCATTCTCCACTCTAGTCCTCTGTGGCTATGTTACTGACTCTGGGCCCAGGAGTCCCCAGGTCTTACCAAACTGCTGGCCAACCAGGTCTCTACCCGGTTTACAGGAGTCTATTGAATGTGGCTGGACTTAGCTCACAGCTTCATTGCTGTTTTTCCCTCACTTCTGTATTGGGGTATTTTTAACTACAGCATGAAAAAAAAGAGAGAAAATTGACACCTACTTTGAAAGCGTCATGACACGTGACCCATTCTTTCAGTCTCTGCCACCCCACCCCCCACCTCTCTTTCTATATATATACATACATATAAACACACACACACACACATATATATATATATAAAATCTTAAGGAGCTCTGGTAGCATAGTGGTTAGGAATCGGGCTGTGAGCCTCAAGGTCAGCAGTTCGAAACTACCAGCTGTTCCATGGGAGAAAGATGAGGCTTTCTGCTCCTGTAAAGCTTTACAGCCTTGGAAACCCTGTACAGGGTCGCTATGGGTCAGACCTGACTCCACAGCATATAACCACCACCACCACCATACATCACCTTGATTAAATCACTCTCCTCTCAATCCAACCCTATTTTCCCTTACAGGTAAAATAAAGGAGTTGGACTAAATCAGCGGTTGCCAGACTAGCTACAACATTATAATTATCTAGGAAGGATAATATAAAACACAGATTCTCTAGTCAATGACCACCTATGATCATTAATATCACAAGAGAAGGAGATAAGCAAGCAGACATTGCGTGCCTCGTGGTAGAAGAACTTACCATTACCTTTAAAGGGTTCTTGCCAAAACAAACAACAAAAACCCAAACCTGAATCTCATCAAGTTTCTCGATCTAACTATCAACTTACAGAAAATATAGGAGACAGAGGAATATGTAATACCAAGAGGATACATCAGCAAAATTTAGACTCTAGGAAAGTCTTCAAGACAAACAAAACCTGGGGTCATCAAATAAACTGCAGAAATGGGGAGCAGTGGAAACCTGTAAATGAAGAGATTTAATTTTAAATCTTTAAGATACTTGACAACAAGATGAAAGCTAGAGCTCTTTTTAGGAGTCTGATTTTTAAAAATAAACTAAAAAGAATGTAACACAAGCAGGGAAATTTGAACATTGGACATTTCATAATGTTAACAAATTATTGCTAATTTTAAAAGATAGTACTAAAACTTATATCTTAGTGAAATATTTAATGACCTGAATAGAATTATACAGGTAGTCCCTGACTTATGACACATCCAAGTTATGATGAACAACATTTAAGACTGTCTATTTTGTTTTATTTTTTTGTACATCTTATCATTAGTAATATAAGCCACACACAATGTTGTAGCATGTAATTTGCTGATGTTATCACTTTCAAATGTTTACTGGCAGATGTTCAAAGACTGGGTTTATAAAGATACTGATACTAAAAAACCTAACTCTCACTGCCACTGAGTCAGTTCCGATTCATAGCAACTCTATGTTAGATTTCCCAGGCTATGAATCTTTATGGGAGCAGAAAGCCTCATCTTTCTCCCACAGAGTGGTTGGTGGGTTTGAACTGCCAACCTTGCAGTTAGTAGTCCAGTACTTATCCTACAGGACCACCAGGCTCCTTAAAGATACTGATGGTGGTTATGTACGGTCGGTTCTGTGACTTTAAATCTTTATGGGAGCAGAAAACTTCATCTTGCTCCTGTACAGCAACTGGTAGAGTCTAACTGCTGATCTGGTGGTTAGCTGTCCAACTCATAACCCACTACACTACCAGAGCTCCTGATACTGATAAAAGGCAAAAATTGTGAAAACCAAAATAGTAAGTAAATCAAGACTTATTTTACTTGCACCAGAAAAAAAATTTACAATAGAGTCATCAGAATGGAACCAAGTCAGCCTTAAGTCAGGGTCTTGGCGTGGTACAAGAGGATTAAGTACTAGACTGCTAGGGCAAGATTGGTTGTTCAAACCCACCAGCCACTCCTAGGAAACCCTACACAGGATAGTTTGAAGTAAGAACTGACTTGATGGAATTTAACAATACTCGTACTACATCACTGTGAAAAATGCAAGTTGCAAAATTTCCCATTTGTAAATCTCATATATTTACCATATTTAGATAAGGAGCCCTGGTAGTGTAATGGGTTCTGCATTGGGCTACACAAGATCAGCAGTTCGAGTCCACCAGGCATCCTATGGGAAAAAGATGAGATTTTCTGCTCCCATAAATTTATTGTTGTTAAGTGCTGTTACGTCAGTTCCGACCCATAGCAACCCTGTACAGGGTTTCCGAGGAGCAGCTGGTGATCTTGAATCATCAACCTTGTAGTCTGGTGCATTAACACACAGTGCCACAACAGGACTCTCATAAAGATTTACAGCCTTGGAAACCCTATACAGGGCTGCTGTAAATCAGAATCAACTCCATGCCATACCCACCAACAACAACGTATTTAGATACCATAAATTTACTTAGCAAAGTAATTGTAAAGATCTAAAACATCAAGGGTTGTAGGTTGGAAGGTCAAGAGATTGTTATTTTTTAAGTTCATTTTCTTCTTTTCTCCTCATGTACTTGTTGCAATGAGTAAATAATATTTTACAGAAAACCATTTTTAAGGTGTAGTAATGGTACTGTGGCTACATTTTTTAAAGTTCTCATCATTTGGAAAGTCACAGTGAATTTTCCATAGATAAAATGAAATCTGGAATCTGCTTCATAATAATCAAGGCTGGGGGAAGTGGGTGGGACACAGAAGAAACAAGATTGTTCAGGAATTCATACATTACTGAAGCTGGCTGAGAGGTACTGGTGGAGTCATTATTCAAGCCTCTCTACCTTTGGAGAGAAATTTTCCATTAAAAAAACAACAAACGCTTAAAACTACAGACTCTCAGGCTCTACTCCCAGAGATGTTGAGATGTTGCTGTATTTTTAAATATGTCTTAAGTGACTCTGATATACAGTCAGCTACTCACCTAGATGATAGGTAATATGCGCTTTGGTGTAAAATTCCTCAACTGTTTGCTCTGTAATTCAATGAACTAGATTGTATTCATATAAATAACTTCCTTTTATTATAAAAAGGGGACAGCGCTCTCTAGGACTGATGTGAAAACCAAATGAGCTCATTCATGCCCAGAAAGCTTGCCTGGCAACTGATAGCTGGAAAGAGTATCTCACAGGTTACACTTCCATGTGATCCACTTCTTAGTGTTAAGTATTACTCATCATATCTGAGTTGAGACTGAAGTTGAGTAAGAAAGGAGATCTGGTGGAAGAATGACAATATATTGTTGTTGTTAAGTGCTGTTGAATCGGTTCCAACTCATAGCAACCCTGTATAGGATTTCCGAGGAATGGCTAGTGAGCTTGAACTGCTGACCTTTCAGTTCAAACTGACCATACATTAACCCATAGAGCTACACCAGGACTCCAAGTGAAATATAGAGCCATTAGACTACAATAAGAAGTCCTAGTGTGGCGCTCTGGGTTAATGCACTGGACTGCAAAGTTAGTTTGAACCGCTCTGAGGAAACCCTATACAGGGTTGCTAAGCGTCGGAACCGACTCGATGGCACTTAACAACATATTGGAATAAAAGGTTTAGGTGAGGTAGATGTGGTGAACAATGAGGCAACAAGGAAAACATGGGGCTAGGACAGCTGAGAGGAGCCCTAGGGAGGCAAAGAAGCACTCTGGAGAAACGAGTACAATTGAAAATTAAGGTGGCAGGCACTAACTTTGATTTCATCTAAGAACCTGGTGATGATAGTTTCTTGGGAGTCCTGAGGATAACCACTAAAAGAAAAGACAACACATGCATTTGTCCCACAAAATTTCAGGGGCAGCAGGAACAGGAAAGGCAAGCTTCTCTGGTTCGCAGGGGACGGATAAGCAGTGGGTTACTTTGTGGCCCTTACCCCGGTAGGGAAGTTGGTAGAAATGCTTGTGGGTTTACAGACTGCTGTTCTTTAGCCACTTAGCCTTCGTGTCTTCTTTATTGTACCATAGTTTCTTACCCCACCCTCTAGATTACCTGTTGCTGGTAGAAGTTGTTGGCACTTTGTTCAAACCGTTCATCTTTGGTTTCCACAGTTTTTCCCAACTTTTGCAGTACCTGGGAAAGTAAGTCAGAAAGGCCCAAAGATTATTGTTAATAGTCAATTCTCTCTTATCTGTTGGCCTCATATAACCCTAGCTTTTCTCAGATTCAACTAAAGTTTGTAATCAGCCCAACAGAATTAAGCTGGTAAATTCTTGATGGTAAAATAATCATGTATTGTGTTTTTTCCCCTTAAGCTGGAAGTACTCTAGGTGTATGTAGCAGTGTGCTAGGGGTATATAAAATCCCAGAATAAATAAAGCTTCCTAAAATGGTATTGTTATTTAAAGGTGTTTTTATTTGGGGGGGTGAATTTTATAGCAAAACAAGGATTAATGAAAAGAATGCAGCCACACGTGGCCTTATATCCTCAAGGCTTATACATAAAACATGAGTTTTGAGACTATTTTTTATTTGAGCAACCTTCTTCTAGCCACAGTCTCAAATGTCTCTGGGTAGATGGTACATGATGTTAGAGGCAGACAGGGAACTCTTGTCTTGTGAAGGGTGCTTTGTGGAAAACTTTGAGAAGTCCTGATAAAAGTATATCTAAATTTCGGCTAGAAAGGAATAACATCCACATCAGTCTCTTCTCCTCTCAGAAACTTGAGAGTCAATCATTGTACTGGCTTCAGAACTAGTGGCTTGGAGAGGAAAAAGCCTCAGGTCTTGTTCTTGTGTAGCTCACTTTTATAGGAAAAACTCACTAATATGCTAATTGCATGTGGTAAGGATTCCTCGTAGTGCAATGGTTAAGCACTTGGCTGTTAAACAAAGGTCAGCAGTTATGTTGAAGAAAGAAAAAAAAAAAAAATCAAATAACCCACCACCTGGCAGTCTGTTCCCGTAAAATCACAGCCTAGGGAACTCTATGAGGCAGTACTACTCTGTCCTATAGCATTACTGTGAGTCAGAAATGACTTGATGACACACAACAAGTTACATGTGGTTAGAGAGTCCTGACTCTTCTACCTGTAAGCCTGTCTTGGAAGGTGACATCACCATTATCCCAGGCACCCTCAATGCTTCTCTTCATTCCTTTCATCAAGTCCCTCACCACTGGTCAATCCCACCTCATGTTAGCTCTAGAAACCATTTCATGCTCTTCTAGTCTGAATATCATAACCTTAATAAAGGCCCTCATCATTTCTCACCTGCCTGCTGCAATAGGCCTTCAGTCTCTGCACCCTCCAATCCCTCCATCAAGAGCTCAATCAAGGTCACACTTTAAAAAAGTCAATCTATTCAACTACTGTCCTGCTTAAAACCTACTTGTTCTCCATTCATCTGCTCAAGTAAACTTGATAAAATGCCTAGTATGTAGAAGGGCTTCCACTCATCTATTAGCTTGCTGTACTGTGGTGACTTGTGTGTTGCAGTGATGCTGGAAACTATGTCACTGGTATTTTAAATACCAGAAGACTTATACATGGAGGACAGGTTTCAGCAGAGCTGGAAGACGAACCCCTCAGCTTGGAAGGCACTCAAAATATGAAATATGACTAAGGAAAATGCTGCTTCTTCAAAGCAGAGTTGACCTTAATGACGTGGATGGAGCAAAGCTTTCAGGACTTTCATATGTGCTGATTGGGCACAATTCAAAATAAGAAGAAACAGCTACAAACATCCACTAATAATTGGATCATGGAATGCAAGAAGTTGAATCCAGGAAATTTGGAAGTCATCAAAAATGAAATGGAACACATAAAGATCAATATACTCGGCAACAGAGAACTGAAATAGACTGGTATTGACCCTTTTAAATAGGACAATCCATATGGTTTACTATGCTGGGAATGAGAAATTGCAGAGGCATGCCGTCACAATCATCATCAAAAAGAACATCTGAAGATCTACCTTGAAGTACAATGCTAGCTGTGATAGGAGAATATCTATATGCCTACAAGGAAGACCAGTTAATAGGATTACTTTCAAATTTACATACCACCAACCACTAAAGCCAGAGATGATGAAACTAAAAAATTCTATGTGGCACTGCAGGATAATGCGCTGGATTGCAAGGTCAGCTTGAGCCACCACCACAAGGTCAGTGGTTCAAATCCACCAGCCAAGTCAGAAACTCATAGCGTCACTATGAGTCAGAACGAAAGTGATGACACTTAACAACTACCGTCTTCAGTCTGAATGATCAAACATGCAATCAACATGCATTTATAATTACTGGTGATTAAAATGCAAAAGTTAGAAACACAGAGGAAGGGTTTTTATTTGGAAAAAATGGCTTGGTGATAGAAACACTGTTGGAGAATGCATGATAGAATTTTGCAAGATCAATGGTTTATTCATTGCAAGTACTTTTTTTCAGCAACATAAATGGCAGCTCACTATCTCAACAGATGGAATGAGGAATCAACAGGAATCAAATTAACTATATTTGTGGGAAAAGATGATGGAAAAGCTCAATATCATCAACCAAAACAAGGCAGGGGCTGACTGCGGAATAGACCATCAATTGCTCATACACAAGTTCAGGTTGAAGCTGAAGAAAATTAAAAGTCCACAAGAGCCAAATTATCACCTTGACTATATCCCAACTAAATTTAGATCATCTCAAGTACAGATTGTATGCATCAGATGCTAATGACTGAAAACCAAAGGAGCTTTGAGATAATATTAAGAACATCATACATGAAGAAAGCAAAAGATCAGTAAAAAGAAAGAAAAGACCAAAGCAGATGCCAGACATTGTCGGGGTCCTGCCTCGACATGGGAGTTCAGTTCACGAAATAGGGAGATCTGGCGGCGACAGAGATAGAGAAAGAATACATACAAAGACACGACTAGAGAGACAAAGAGACACCCCGAAACAAGAGTGGATGCAAAACTGGAGGGCAGACTCTGGACTACAGGCATTGTGGCCCCTGCAGGCAGTAAAGCACAGCCCTGCAAACCGTAATGCATCCAGGGTTCAGTCTGTGCCTCCTTTTTATTTCAGGGAGGGACTTTACACAAAGGCAGAAGGGGATTATTAAGACAGGGTACAGAAATGAAATGTGATTAATCGTTCAAAACAGGACACCATGATTTACAGGAACAAATTCTAAAACATACATCACAAATTGTCTTAATAATCTAACATCCTTAATTTTCTCGAAATTCAAGCAAATTGTTATAAATTACTTTTTAGGTTCAAATCCTAAGGCAGTAACTCGAGGTTTCTCCAGGCTAATTAACATACCTATAGCACTTAATCTCCAATGGGAAAAGGTGAAAAGGATTCAAAAGGTCTGGAAGGAGTCCAGCTGTTTCAGCTACCTGGCCTAGGCTTGCAGGAGGAAGAGGGACACCCAGGTTAATGGTTTGCACCTGGGGACGGTCTGAGGTGGTCAACACCATTATTCCTTGAACAATACCCCGGAAGTCACCAATCTACTTTGAGTGAATTCCTTGGGCAGACTGTCTCCAGAGCCCCCTTGCAAACTTGCCTTGGGAACTTTTTACAGCCTCGGCTTTAGGAGGGGCTTTTGTTTTAATATTTGTCCATGGGTATCAAGGGCTCATGTATTAAGTTAATATCAAACATAACTGAATAACTTGATAAAGAACAGTTTTGCCATGCTTGCCAGGTGGCCAGAGTTTGTTCCTCAGAGAGATTTGTTCCCAGAACCTTACGCACTGCCAACACAGTGGAGACATTAAGAGAGGCACATAAGAAACCATTTTCTCAGAAGCTACAATTACTGGAGTTTGAAGCATAGAATGAATTAATAGGACCAAAGAAAATTATACAGAGCTAGCCCAACAGTGAGTTCATAAAAGCCAATGAACCCGGGACGTCCGGAGGTCACTTCCTTGGGCCCCCAGGGTCCCTGGCTAGCCATCCTGAGTGGGGCCATCGTGTAGGATTTTCGTCCATGACACAGGGCCTCAACATCTCAGTGATTGCGGTCTCCAACAAGACATAATTTTAAACTTGCTCTTGAACACAGAGAAGCTAAAGCAACTGGAAGAAATGAGGAATTAAAAGAGCTGAAAAGAAATTTTCAGAGGTCAGCTTGAGAAGACAATGTGACCATAATAATGAAATATGCAAAGACCTAGAGTTAGAAAACCTGAAGGGAAAACACAGTCAGCATTTATAAAGCTGAAAGAACTGAAGAAAAAATTCAGACCTCAGGTTGCAATACTGAAGAATTCTATATGCCAATAGAGAACATTATGATAAATGGAAAATATTGAGGTTGTCAAAGACTTCAATCAGTACTTATGGAAGCAGCAGCCAGGAAATCATATGAGGTACTGTGTTAGGCAAATCTGCAAAAGATCTCTTTAAAGTGTTAAAGAGCAAAGAGCAAAGATGCCACTTTGAGGACCCAAGCCATGGTACTTTCAATCACCTCATATGCATATGAAAGTTGGATAAATGAATAAAGAAAACTGTAGAAAGTCAATGCATTTGAATAATGGTGTTGGTGAAGAATGTTGAAGGTACAAAACTACCAGATGAACAAACAAATCTGCCTTAGAAGAAGCAGAGTCAGAATACGCTTTAAAGTGAAGAGACTTCGTCTCTCATACTTTTGAGATGCTGTCAGGATGGACCAGTCCCTGGAGAAAGACATCATGTTCGGTAAAGTGGAGGGTCAGTGAAAAAGAAGATGACACCCCAATGAGATGGACTGACACATTGACAGGAGCAACAATGGGCTCAAACTAACTGTGAGGATGGTGCAGGACCAGGCAGGTTTTCATTCTATTGTGCATAGGGTCACTATGAGTTGGAACCAATTCGATGGCACATAGCAACATGTATGAGAGGTTTCAAAATGTTCATGGAAAAAAAAAAGGGAGGGCAAATGAGACTGATGTAGGAGGAGGTGAATGGGCTACACCTTAAAGTAAGATTTTGCTTGACTGAAAAAAGGGACAAAAGTGGGAACAGTGATTCCAGGTAAGGATAACAGCATTGGCAAAGTCATGGGAGTATGAAAATTCACAGGAGTTTAATGAGCTTGTTCAGCAGGACTGGCTTAGGGTGTATGATGAGGAATGGT